GGTTTGAGTCAATTGAGATCAAGATAATGAAGCTTTTTAACATTTGTGGAGATACCAGCTACCAACTTCAAAGCACTGGTAGCTGGCAGTGCTCAGACCTAGTGATGGGAAAGCTCAGTAGGGCCAGTTCACATTGCTCCCACTATCCCAGCCTACATTAAGGGGCTCATCAGCCACCTCATACCCTTTCGACTGAACCAATACAGCCAAAACATGGGATCCTTTTTGCCTGCCAAGAGCCTGAGACAGCAACCTAAATAGGACCACCACCTTCCCATTTCCCTAAATGGAGCTCAAGGCAAATTCTAAATACTCAACAAGTGGAGCACTGTACTGAGCAAAACAAAGACCTTTGGTTTCTATGTGCTTAGTAGTAGTTGATGAGCACATAAAAAAAGCAGAAGCAGCAGCTTCAAGGAATTTAGTGTCTGCTATTGTAAAGACAAATAAAACAACCCTACAGGAAAGGTGGGTCTGCAGGCATAGAAGGCAGAGCCTGACTCTGAAGTGCTGGACATAGAACATCCTGCAGACATCCTGCTGTTCCAAGCGTGGCTGTATCGAGGCTGGAACTCCAGAATGAAGATTGAGGCTTTGACCCCAACTTGGAAGTCTCATTTAGCTTCTCTAGTGCTCTCTGATCTAATGATTGTAGATGCCATCTGTGCAACAGCATCAGGCAGGGTGAATTAAGGACAGTTTCATGCAGATTTTCAGCAGTTACTATCCACAAACAGAGGACCAAGGAAAATGCTCACAAATAAAAGCTGACACCAGACACTGACACAACCGTCTCATCTACTCATTGCTGGAAGTCTTTTAGGAGGTCAGGCCTGAGGGTGGGGAGCTGATACTTACTATCTCATATAGCTGAGGTATCCTGTATCTGAGGCTGCAGAAGAAGAGAAGAAAGTTGTCTGAAAAGATGCTGGCAATGCTCTAAGTAGTGAAGAAAGAATTTCTAACACTCAGCCTTGGCTGCAGAGTTTAATTTTAACTTTGTTAAAAATAGAAGCACACGATAGGAACCTTAACTACAAAATTACAGCGGAGCATTCAGCTGTGATTTCAGTGTGGCCCCTTTCCACCCTGCTTTGCAGTGTGGCATCGGGGTTCTGGGATGCTCTCATGTCTCTTCTGAGCACCCTCTACCTACACCTACACAACCACTGACCTCAGCAGCACCCTCCCAGGGATTTATGGCCTTGTGTGCATGCTCAACCTGGAGAGTGTTTGTTTTTTCACACAAAGAAAAACAAATCGGGTTTTCAGTCAGCTCTCTGTTCTCTAACTGCACGAGGCAGAAGAAGGAATAGCACACTCCTGGTTGGTTCACCCTCGTTGCTGGCATCTTCTTAAAATGCTATTTATACATACTCATACACACACATTAGATTCTGAATGAGACAGTGGTCACTTAAAACCAAGTTGCAGCAGACAGGAGGTCCACATTTATCAACCTAAATTCTCAGAAGCTTGCCTGCACTGGGTTGACTTCAAGTGCAAGTTTTCCCATCCCCGCAGAAGCTGCAAATGTGTAGGTAGTACACAAGACAGAGAGGATTCTATTGCTAAACAGTATGAGGAATGCAGTAAAATACAAAATCCCAAGTTGTCATGATCTGTAATTTGCTGCACATTTTTCTGCCCATTGTGATGGAAAATTTAGACTCCCATCTTCAAGAGCCCCTGTGCCAAGCCACGTCAGTAACTAGGGATGATTGCAGTGGAAACACAAAACCACTGGGAACCACTTCTCTCCTGACAGTACTTGAGCCCACATCCCACATTAGGCTAGACAGACTGAATTTTAACTGCAATAAAGCAAACTATAGAAATTTTCAGGTGCCACCATGAGGGAATAAAGCTGCAGAAAGAAGGTAGTTTAGTGAGCAACACAGCTAAGCATGCTCCCACTGGAACTGAGCCTTCCCTCTAGGACCATCCTAGTTCAGATCCTTAAGATCTCTGGTAGGGCGTATAGGCATTTCACAACTGTCTGCAGCACTTGCTGACCAGCTGCAGAAATATGTGGTGAGGGATCTTGGCCTTTGGTTTCTCCCCTTTATCTGTGGGGGTTCCAATTCATGACTCTGTGAACGATTCCCATCTTGCCTGCTGGCTTTGCCCAAGAAAAAGATTGGTGACTGTGGCAGATCCCACATTATCCCACCTCATACACAGGCAGCAGAGTAACCCATGCAACATTCCCTGCCTTGTCACTGCAGCTGTTGGAGAAAGGCCTCCATCTGAGTCCAGTACTTGGAGATGCAGAGCTGTACTGCTGTGATCCTCAAAAGAGCCAACAGCTTCACTGTAGGGAATGTTCCCTCCATGCACAGCCTTTTGTGAAAGCACAAAGCAAAAGTTCTCCCAATGTATGGCTGCATCAGCCACAGCTGTAATTGTCTGACCCCCTAAGCAGGCATAACCATCAGTAAGTTGTATTTTAGCTGCTCAAGAGGCCACACTTTCAGGCTGGGCTTAGAGGCTGCTAGATGTTTTCACACTGAAGCTCAGAAACCAATGCTATGACCCCACAGATTTACAAAAGGCACTGATCAGTGTTTCTAAACACCAAGCTGTGCTTGGACACCACGAGACATGAGTTGTTGGCTCAAGCTGCAGCAAGGAATACTGAGACCCAGAGCCACTCCCTCTCCTTTGAGGACGAGCTGGCATTTCGTCTGAGCTCTGGCCAAACTGACACAGCAGCACTGAGCTGGACATGGTTTAGTCGTCTCGGATTTGAATCGCCCACGTTATTTTTTGGTCTAAATCCAAGCTAGTTATTTTTAAAGTAGACTGCAATAAAATACAGCTGCTGTGGAATTGGCTTCATCAGAGACGTAGGTTTGCAGGTATTTAGTCCACAATACGTAATTGTATGCGGGCAGTCTGCTGAGGTGCCAAAGTTGAGAAATGCAGCCTTTGCACAAAAGTTCCATCAGGGCTTTTAGCCCAGAGACTTCAGTCTTAATTTAATCCAGCTGCCACACAAGAACCATTATAATCAATGAACAAAAAGAAGATTTGCACAGTCAGCAACATGCTCCTTTTCATAGAGGCTTCCAACTGAGCATATAACAAATAAAATACATTGATGCTGGGCCACAACATGTTTAGAAAAGCTGGGGGCCACTGAAAATTAAAGTGCATTTAGTCAGAGCAGGGCTTTGACCACCAACATAGTCACAGAAATAGTGCTGCATTCTGTGGCTGTCTGCGGTCAGACAGCTGGCACCATCATCTTACCCAAGATTACACCTATTTATGCAAGTCTGACACCACCTTCACAAGAAGAAATTTTTACTCTCCTTTGCACATTTCTGTCCCAAAACATCATCCCAAAACTGCTGTCCACTTTGACAGGTACTGTAGGACATGGTCATATTCATTTTTCAAGTTTGAGCTTTTTCTTTCTGGTACCTGATAAATCAGAGCAACACAAATGTAAATTCTGCAGTTCACACAGAGGGAAGTGCCCCCTGCTAATCTGTGGCATTTTACCTTTGTTTTGTTCATTAATGTAACCAGCCCAAGTGCCATGTATCCTCCATTTCTGCTGATAATGCTCAAAGAGTGCAAGGAGGAACATACTCTAATTATCTAAATCGGATCTGCAGTATCGTTACTGTACAGTGCCAGAGCTGAATTAAAAGAAAAGAAAGAGGAAAATCCCTGTATTCTACTCATAAACACAGATGCAATTTAAATGTTACAAATGTAATGGGAGCTGTCATAAGAACTGCAGGCATGACATAGCAATTTCAGTAAATACGGCAGAGTAAATTGCTTATTAAATCAAGCCATCCTCAAACAGTAGCTGTGGCTACAAATTCAAATGATACAATGACATAATTTAACTGCAACAAATAACACTGCTCCCATCCTTTTCTTTCCAACCCAGAGATTTTAGAGCATCTTAGGGGAGCTAAAAAACCTTCCTGAAGCACAAAACCTTCTGAGAGTCTTAAGCAGAGTGCACAAAAGGGTAGTGAGTGTGTACACGCTGTGCTGGATGGTGAACTTCTCTTGGTAAATAGAACTTAACCTCTTGAACTTAAACCCTTGGACTCTGCAGGATGCTGCAAGTTTGTTTGCAAATGTTTTTCTCTGAAGGACTGAACAGACCACTCGGGCTTTACGCACGGGCCAATGAGCGGTGTTGGTGGCAGGAATGCTGCTTAGGCTTCCTGTCTATCCAGTCCTGCTGCCATTCCAAATCATGGCCCCCTACTGATGTCCAAGGTCCACTCAATCATACTTTGTTTTCTCCCATCCTAGGAAACTTACCAATCTTACTAAAAATACCAAATCACACCTGAAAGGCAAGTGTTCTGTACCGCAGCATGACACCACTGAATTCAGACTTTTTGCAAACTGACAAAGCCCAAAGAAAGAGGAAACAAGTAATTTATGAACTGGATGCTTGGAAGCACGTACCTGGGCCTGCTGGTGGGAGGGACAGTCCATGCCTGATACTGGAATTTTCTCATCTCCACAGAATACATCTGAAAACAGAAGTTCTCGTTTCTGTTCTTCCAAACCAAGGTCAGAAGTTACCAGGACAAAAAAAAAAGACGATGCATTTTTCACACCCAGAACTGCAACACTAACAACTTGATCTCATTCAAAATACCATAATATTCTTTAGGGCACACATGAAAAAGATCAAATTTAAGAAAAATGCCTAGAATACAATAATAAAGGTAGTAAGCACAGACAGCAACACTAGGGACTGCACCTGACTATACATGTCCAAAGATCCAGTGTGTTGGTGCACAAGCATCAATGAAATTGCTGAGTGCTTCAGTCCAATTAACACAAACCATGTGTATGTTTACTGAGACTAACCCAGAAAGCATCCAAAAATGGCCAAAGGTAAAAGAGAATGACTACAAATTTTTTAAGACAAAGTGCTCACTTTATAGGTAGGTTGCAAAAACAAAATAAACAAAAACCAAACCAAACCAAAAACACACACACACAAAAAAAAGCAAGTTTAAAATGCTGGAAAGATTCCTTGCTATAGCAGAACAGCTTATAAACACACTCCAAGGCTACATAATTGGAAATGTGGCATTCACAGTTTGAAACATCTAGTAGGAGGCTGGAAATTCACTTTGGTATCACTGAGCCACCACCTGCAGTCTTTGGGAGAGATCTGCCAAGGCACTTCATTTGGGACTGATGCTGAGCCAATGTACCAATGAAGGACTGCTCCAGTCACACACCCACCCAATGTGTGGGGAAAACCAGATCAAAAAGCACTTCCTTGATCTTGGTAAGAGCAGCATAAAGCTGTTATCCTCCAGGGACCTATAGGCAGGACCACAGCTAGGACCACAGGCACAGGGTTTTTTTGGGAAAGGATGTGTCATTGGTGAGAGACAGGATAACACATTATCTAACTAGAGGGAAGTAGCTTATTAGAGAAGCATTTGGCTGAAGAGCTTATGCACACAGATGTGATTCATCTGAAAAGATCAACATTTTCAAGCTAAATCACAGGTTCTGCATTTTGAAGGCAGGAAGAGGCAATTCCCATCAATAGTTTTTTGTGCTGGCTGCCAGACATTATACTGCTATTACATCTGAGACACAGCTGCAAATCTGATCCCACTCAGAAACCAAGCAGTGTAAAGGTACATGTATGATCTGCATTTTTACATTCTAAGCCAGGGTCACTGCACTCATCCACCTCTTCCTTTTGGGGAGCTGATGGACATTTCCTGTTTGTGAGAGGACACTGAGCACAAACACAGCTCTGACCTTTCAGCAAGAAGCCTTCCACACAACTCCAGATTTCAAAGGCTGACTTTATCCTACTGGATGTAGAACATAAGCTGTACCAAAACTTATGAGGAAAATCCTCTCCTTCCTCAAATTTACAGATGCTTTTATGAGCAGTCCACATTTTGAAATCCTCGTGTAGCTTAACAGACCTGCCAAAATGAAACTGCAGTGATTTTGTATGTTTTTTGAAAACACCAGTTAATAATCTCAAAAGGAATCCCTTCTACACAGCAAATAAGGATTCTTAGTTTAGAATACAAAGAAAGGAAAGGAGTGTTCACGTAGTAATTTACTGCCTTGAGCACTGGTCTGCAGAGTTCTTTATTTTTAAAAAAGTGAAATAATATAATTCCTTTCTAAACATTCCTCAAAAAAGAAAAAAAAGGATTAGATTGCTTCTGCATTTTAGCACTAGTTTCTGAACCACTAAAAGTCAGCTGATCAAACTTTCCTTTTGCTCACATGCAGTTCTTGCAGAAGAGGTGAGAAGCAGAGCAAGCACTGACCCTACAACCATAATGCTAAAACCCTTACACACACTGAATCCCCTCAGGCCAGGCCTATGAGCACAGCATGGAAGGCAGCAGAAATGGGAGAGCTGGAAATGACCCATGGTGCTGTAGGACAAGTTTAAAAGATAAAAAATTTTTTAAAAATAAATCACTCCATCTCATTACCCATTTACAACAACAATGCAGGGGTGGGTGAAACTGAAAAAGAAAGAGCTCTCTTCAACCTGGACAAATAATACTTAAGGAAAAACCCCACAACTTTGGCTTCAGCTTCCAAGAAAGCTGGTGAGGTGAGAGAGGGCCATGTGGAGGTCAGTAGGTGATTTACACAATAGTGATGCAGTGGCACCTGACAAACTAAACAGGTCACAAATGTAAGCAAGCCAGAGAGTCAGCTAGAAAGCAACAGGGTGCCCAGCCATCATGGAAGTGAAGACTGTGCAGTAAACAAATAAAGATGGACCCAGAGAAGTTCTGGAGGTGATTTTGTTGAAGGTAGACTTGGGGATTTTTATTTTTTTTCTTGGAATAGCCTACAGCAAGCTGACACAATGAATGCAGACACTTCAATCTATACCTTGTAGATTAAAGGCAGAACTTTTCAGAACTATCTAAAGGATTTAGGAGCTTAAACTGCACTGCACATTCCAGAGGAATTTGACGTGCAATTAATTAGACTGTTCTGGAGTGTCTTTGGTTCTTATTTTTAAACTGTTTTTTTCCTTGAAATCTCTGAGAAAGTGTGTTTCAAATTCAGGATGTGACTAACCAGAATTCCACGTTATGGAATTACAATGAGCAGGAGAACTAATGTATGCAAGTGCTATTTCTGTTTCTTCACATTTTTTGGAGTCACTGTTAGTTTGTATCCTGGACAAAAGGGTTTATGGCTTTCTTGAACTAAGCACCTCTTTATGTAGCCAACTACAACACAGTGGAATCACAATTATGCAGCTAAGATAAGACAAAATGCAGTGGTGATGCGCCAATTCATCATGTTTGGGTTCTTCTAATGAAGCCCATTACTCACAGAAGAGAATTTTCTCAAGCAGTTAGTCACCAGCAGACAGATTTCCCCATTACTCCTTCCTTTTCTGCAGATGGTGAATAGCCTGGTCCTCCCCTCACCATCCCAGAAGTGCAATATTAGGAAAAGTCAACACCTAAACTAAAAGTAAACAAAGAGTAACTTAATTTTCCTTTAACCAAAATAAATTAACAATAAAACAGTACACCTTTCATAAGCAAGCAAACATTTTTCATTTAATTAAAAAAAACAGACAAAAAGACAAAAACAGCCTGCTGTCCATTTAACACTACAGAAAGATACTGAGTATCTTTCTTTAGCTTATTAAAACAAGCATACAAATAAACTAGACTCTAATAACAGCTTGCATAGAAACATTTTGTTTTGTACTTTGTGCAAATCTTACTAAATAAGGCATGCTTGCAGGCTTAGGTAGCAATGCAAGAGTTATCAAGGAATGTTGAGGAACCGCAAGGAAAATTCCAGGCAGTCTGCAATCCACATCCACTTACACACTTCATTGGACTTCAAAGCCCAACAGCTGATAGCTGCAGATCTGTCTTCGACATAAGGCAATATGGTATTTGTAGGGCCCAGCACCTGCTTTCAGCTACTCATGGGTTTACTACACATAAGATCACTTGAATTCAGAAAACCTGAGCCAATATTTAAAAAAGGGGTTTTGGATGTGGATTGGTAAGAACCTGGCTTCAGGGTGAAGCAAAGGAAGAGGCAAAGAGGACAATGACATCGAGAACGACAGTCCTTCACATAAAAGGGTATTCTGCAGATTCTGCATATCTTTTTATACTGTGAACTTTTCCCATGGGGCAATGTTTCTTCAAGCAAACTTGTCTCCTAACAAGTTACCCAGAAGAGTATTTCTGGAACAGAAAAAGCCAACGTGTTTGTGTCTCTCAGCCAGCCAACAAGTGTCTATTGCAGAAATTCAACAGGAATTAGTGACACTGAAGAAGGGTGGCTCTGTAAAGAGGAAGGCATGAAGAAGGAAGCTGCAGTATGAGCAGTATCAGAAATCTCAAATAAGTTATGTAGCACTGAGGGAAATTATAAGGCCTAACTGGAATAATATTTTGCCTCCTTTTTCCCCCTCCAAATCAAGTATTTTCAGGAAATATTGAAGTACAACCTTCTTTTGAAAGCAGCTTTGCATTAAAAATCTGTTTAAACTCCAAAAGCTTTTTCAAAACACATTTAAAAAACCCATTAATAATAATCTTCAAAATCCCCCAGTATTTTGTAACATAAAATGGAATGCTCCTGGGCTAGAGCTGCCAGCTCCTTCAGGAACTCTGGGAAAAGGGCAGCTGCAAGTACGGCGTTCCTCACGTGCGCAGGAACGCTGGGATGAGCCAGGCCTTTCTTTCCTTTCTGTGCCAGGAAGGGCTGCAGTACAGCCGGGTAAGCTTCCGGGAGATTCCTTCCTTTCCCTGTGTTGCTGCTGTGCTGGACATTACCTAAAAACAATAGGAGAGGGAGAGGAAAGAGAAAAGACTCTCTATATTAAGCACACAGAGTATTTGTACAGTATCCAAACCCAGTTTACGAGGATTGTGTTCAGAGCTGTAATTTGCAGTACCCAGATTGTGCAGGCAGATACTCCACTAATCCAGCATTTTAAAGTTCTACGTGACCTGGTTCTATTGCATTTTTTATTACCTGTCTTTCCCCAGGTTATATATCATTCAGTTCCAGCTCTGATGAGAGAAATACGTGGGCAGAAGAGGACTCAAGGGAAAGAGTCATATGGATTTACCTTCTGAAACAACAGATAATATCTACCCATCTAGAGCCAGCATGGCTGTCTCCATTTCAACAATATTATGCTCTATCCCTCCTCCAGATCACACTGCTGTTTTCATTTTACTTCTCTTTCTCTATCCTCACCCTGTGAATTACCATGTCAATGGGTTCAAGGCCGAACTATCACCTCACCGCATGAGTTTGAAGCAAGTTAAAAACTAAGGGAAAAAAATTTTAAAAATCAGATTTTTCTGCAGCTATAGGCCCCACTAACTATACTTACTTCCCTGTAAAGCAACTAACCTTTAAAAGAGAGCAAGTGAAAGCCCCTGTGTGCTCTGCTATATGATCTCTGCTGCCAGAGTTCAGAGGATCAGAGCTCAAGTATCAGAATGCATGGAATTACAGTGACAGAGCACTTAAATTTCAATCAATTGCTCCTTGTTTCAACCTGAAGAAGAACTGCCCTTTAATTAGATGATAATTAATTTAGTGAAACTAAAAAGGTGACAAAATTTAATGCTGATGGAACTAAATACTCTACAAAGAAAAATTAACCTGTAGAACTCTCTGCTACAAGGTATCATTGAGGCCAACAGCAGAGACAGATAAAATCCTCTCTAACTTAGAAGTAGGATGTTCTCCTGAGATGTGTAAGTAAATCATTAAAAAGAAATAAAAGGGCTGTTATGTTAACTCAGATACTGCAGACAAGCCCAACACTGCATCACTGACTTCAGAAGGGGTTTCCCCTACAGCACACACAGTTAATGTTAAAGTAAGTCTCAAGTGACGCCAGACTTGCTCTGAAACCTCTCCAAGTAGCAAACAGGGGGAGCTGTAGATGAAGGCCTCACTCGATGCTGCACAGCAATCCCTCTGTTCAACAGCTCTGCACTTTCATTCCTTGCCTGTACTTCACCCAAGGCACTGTGGAACTACTCTACTCTTCCAAACATTTGAAAAAAGAAAATTTCATCTCAATCATTTAACAGACTTGTACTTTTCTTGAGTTTAAAACTCCTTTCCAACTCCAGACTTATCAATCATTCATGTTGTTATTCTACAAATTTCTACCTACTAGAGACAGAGTACAGGAATTTCTGTTCTGTGGGAAAATCTGACTGTGGGAGGAAAAACAACTTAAATTATAGATTACAATGAAAAGATAAAGTTTTAAGCTTCCCCTGAAGATTTTTTCCAGATTTTCTAATGTCAATAAGTTTCATAATTAAGATTTTAAGTTTTTAAAATAGTTTAGGCAATATAACCAGAATGCTAGTATACTGCTAAAGCTTTGCTTTTGTTTATACTCTTACTTTTAAAAATAATCAAAACTGATACATTTCTAAAAATAATTTTGGTTTTGATTCAACTGGTTGTTTGGGAGAAAAAAACCCTCAAAATACCAGAAAAGCATAGAAAGCTGATCTAGGAACCAGAGATTTGATTTTATTGTCTTTGATCAGGATTGTTCACTTCTCTCTAGGGTCAGGATGCAATCCGAGTCATACAATTGAAAACCGAGCAAATGAGTACTCTGAAGATTGTTACCAACACACTGAAAGAGGGGCAGCTTGCACATGGAACTACATCGTGACAGCTCAAGATGTGTAACCAGAGCCCAAGCTGCTGTGGAAGAAACCACACACTACTGCAAGCAAAAAAGAACAAATTGTACCATTTCTGTTCAAAAACCTTCAGAGACCTACCCTGTAAAGAGAGAGAAAACACTCCATAATGTTTTGGCTTTACATTTGCCTTCCTCACTAACTCTGGCTTCAGGTTTTCATATGTGAATTCTGTAGGAGGCTGGCTATGCTCAGATCTGCAGAGAACTCTGGGGTTTATTCACCACTTCTGTTCAGGGGAAAAATCCCTCAGAGAGCAACCAATATATATGACAGTCAGAGGTGGTGGTCAAGCTAATGCAAAAAAGTTCATGGAGAGGTTCCTAATTTGTTGTTTGGTTTTGTATTTTCGTTGTTTTTTTTTCATTTACCATTACTGCAGCAGTTCCTACCTTGCAGCTTCTTAATCAATATAATGAATGGTTGATGGGCTACTGAGCCAACACTCCCCCAGGATTACAGCTTTGATGACTTGCATCACTAGTCCTGTAGGGAATCAAGTCTGCATTTTATCCTGACATTTACTTACTCCCCACTTACTCGTCAAGAGAAGCTTTCTTTGCAGGAGTTGCCACTATGCGGAAGAAAGTGTACTAACAGGGTGACTAAGCAGCCTTGTTTCAAATTCCTAAATAATGACCAGCATGAGTCAACCTGGCAAATTCTGAAGCCCACAGAAGAAAACTGACGTAAAACAGGAAGTATAAATAAATGTCATTGGGAATGCATTATGTAAAAGTTCTTATTGCCAGCATCTGAGAAAAAAAAGGACTCTGAATGTTGCCTCCTAATCTCATCTCCCACATGCTAGCTACAATGCCATTTAATTGCAAGGCTTTCTATTCTATGGCACCAAAATGCAGAGCCTAAAACACTACTGACATGTGCAATACACAGCTTTTTTACAGCAGGCACCTTCCACAGACCAATTCTTTGGGAAGCAGCCTTAGCAAGATTATAATTTTACAGACTAGATGTACTGCAAACCTTAGAAACACATACTATGCTGACTAGAAACTAGGTAGATTATTCTTCAGAGCCTTGAAAAATGAAAACACAATTAAAATGGCACATAAAGAGTCCTGGTTTCCACACCTCTGGAAATCGAAGAAAAGCATCAACATCTTCACAGAAGTGTGGGCAGAGTGGGTGATTATTAATGACTCTCAAAGAGTAAGCATACACCTGTAAATGCAGCCTCTCTTGAACCCTCTAGCAGAGTCAGCTCTTCATGACTCACCAAATTTGACACATTCCCATCATGTGGCAAGTTGGCTTTTAAGAGAAGTCTGCATCCAACATTGCCCACTTAGCAGCAAGCTGAGAACAAGCATGTCCTCAGGACAGGGCTTCAGTTCTACCCATTGCCTGCCTGTGTCTGGAAGGTTCTTAATTGGCAGCTAAGATTTCATTTTGTTTATTTTTACTAGCTTGACCCACAGTGGTACAAACAAGTACAGGTAACTGTAAAGACAGCTGCAGTGTGCACTGTGCTTGAGAGGCAGCAGATGTTACAGAGTCCCCTGCAAAGCTGGCTTGGTGGGATGATACCTGTCTAACTCCCCACTGCTCTTAGACACACACCTTTTGGTTTTTTCTGTTTCTTTTGCTTTATTTGTCATACAAGAAAGACACTAGCCAGAAAACTTTCAGTGTCTTATCTCCCTCAGTGGTAGCCCAAACCATGATACCAAGCCTTATTCAACTGTTGCAGAAACCAATTCATCCTGGACTTCTGTCCTCTCTAACATTTATCAAAAAAGAACCAATGACTAGCTGAAGGTCAGGCTAAAAATAAAATGAAAATCATGCACATATGCCACCTCACCTCATGCTTTGAAAGTGAGTTTGTTTACTGATAGCAAGCCAAGAACTTATTTTGTTACTTCTTTAAACAGACGTTTTATATACCAAATAAAAATTTCTAAACAGCAGAGAATATCCAAATAGACACATATACTGTGGTCTACACAGTGAGCATCATCACTTTAAAGTCAGAAGGATACAGCTGGCTAATGACATTCACAACATACCACACCTTTTAATAACCTGGAGAAAAGGACAGGGGTAACTGGCTCTCCTCTGAGTGTGGTTATCATTTACCTTTGGTGAGCAATTCTTCCGCAGCATCAGACATGTCCACACGAAAAAGCAGGTACTGTTGGGCCTCCAGGAGAAGACCTGGGAAGTCTTTTTCAATGGAAGCAAAATGTTCAATCTTATTTTTCACAGATGCCAGCACCTGCCAAAAAAACAGTAACAATTACTTCTTTCTCCTTTGTTCCCAGTGTAGCCACAGACTGAATGTTCAAGCTTTCTCTACTTGCATTAGAGTTCTGACAAAAGCTATGGTCACACAGTTTCCAGTTCTTTGCACAAATGTAATTAAAATGTGGAAATTAAATAAGAAGATCTCAGACAGGTAAGAAAGCTTCATGTGAAACTGAAAGGAGCTAATGTAAGGCTTATGGGGACACTAAAGACACTGCTCCAGTAGGCACGGCTAACTCCTGTGATAAATACCTGATAGAGTGAGCGCACACTAGGCTGAAACACCATGTTGGTGTTGAGCAGAAAGGAGCGAAGAAGCGGCTGTGGATAACTTGCCAGCTGAGTAATAATCCCAATAAGCAGCAAATTTACATGCAAGGAATTCTCCAGCATGTTCTCCAGCTTCGACAACACTACGCTGATGAATGGTCCTGCAGGAAAATAAGAAGGAATCAATGCTTTTGTTTTCACAGAAGAAAAACGCTAAGATCCAGGAAAAAAGCATTTAAAGGGAGTTTTGACCATCATAACCAAGCAAATTAGCCCTCCCACACACTAATTAAAGACAGCAGGGAGAAAACCCAAACTGTAGATGAACAGAGAAAGCAGACTTAACAGATGTGTTGAAAGCTTTTGTGGTTAGCAGCACATTTGCTACCTAGCCAATCAGTTTACATTAATAACATATTTAACATGCATGACTATTCCACTTGCATGTGCCAATAAGGATTTAGAGTAGGACATTACAGTCTACCACTCTATTCCCCTTGAATAAATTGCAAGGATACTACTAGTTTTAAGGCAAATAGAATCTGTTCTTTTTACTCTTCCTGTGCCTTATTTCTATGTAAGGACTGGACGAAGTGAATTATTGCTAGCTTTCTTGTTCTATCAAAAAACTGGTGTTCTAAAGAAAATATGAAAATGCTATTCTAAACATAAAGATCAAGCTGTGATAGTCCCCATCACAAGAAAAGGCATCTTCAGTACACCAGTCACACAAAGCAGGGAAGACATTAAAATAGATTTATAAGCATAATTGTGGGTAGACATAGGCGTTATCATACTAATGTCACCAATAAATAATAGCTTTAGTTTGTGTATTCATGCTGAAGGACAGCCACTGAAATACAGAAGCATTTACCATGAAGTACATAAACCCTTAGTGCTCAAGCTTAAGAAACCTTTGCAAGGCTGAGAATGACTTTACCCGAATACTACTCTGTTAGACTACACAGCTGGGGAGACACTCGAGGCAGCCACTACAAGGGACCTACTCACAAGTAAAGTCTTAGAAATGTCCCTTGTCCCACCCACAGTCCTACCACACTATTCCGGTTGCGTAAGAGCTAGGAAAACCATGCAGAAGAATCCCTGGATGATTAGCACTGCTATCTTTGAATATCCCACCCTCAAATCTGGCAAAAGATGAATGCCATGGGCATTTCTAGGGTCAAGCAGGTGGCCATAATCCCACACCATTCCAGCTCCCCTCAGCTTGCACATGGCTGCCATCCAAGCTGGCTGGGTACAGTGCAGCCCAGTTCAATGTGCCTACTGGAAACTGTGGCAGAGGCTAAGGCACTTCTGGGCCAGAGCAACAGGAAGGATCAAATGAGGAGTGCCCCTGTTGCCATTCCACTTAACAGAGCTCCTCTGAAGGCTGGAATCTATCATGCTTTACAGCAACTGTGAGCACAAAGCAAGCACTCCTTCCAGACTCATCTCTCAGGGCTAATGCTGGCACAGCTCTGCTCACAAGAGGAAAGGTGGGAGGGCCACTGTTGACAAGGCTTTATGTGGCTGCTGCCTTTCAACCACTACAACAGCCATCAGAACCCCCGTCCCCAGTGGAGCAGCCCCAAACACTTTGGCTGAGATACAGTTTCTTCTGTCCCAAAATAACCTATCCTGTTCAGGGTGACATCTTCACATAGCTCCCGATGGGAGCCTTATTGTATCAAAACGGATGGCAGAAGGAGCTCAGATGTGTCACTGTTTCTCTTCTCTAGGTAACACTTCAAAGCTCAGTAGGTAAAGCTGCAGCTAGGTATGTGTAACAACTGCTGCTTGCCACTGCAAGAAAGGTTACCAAATACATACTTTTTTTTTTTTTAAAGTGATAGCATGACTTTTACCCCCAAGAATTTATTGAAATGGGAATCAGATGATGTAAACAGAACTTAGGAGCCTTGTAAGAAACAGGGTAACTAGATGAGAAGTCAAAAAATTACTCTTTTCATGGCCATGAAGTCAAGTACTGATAAACGGAGAGAGAGGAAGCAAAATATAAACTCCTGTTCCTGAACACCACAAGTGAAAAAAATAGGGATGAGAGCATTTAATGCTGTTACAGTAGATATAAGACACTGAGAGTGCATTTTTCTTAACAGATCCATAGACCTGAAGGGAGCATCTTCGCATTGCTGACACTGGCTGTGGGAAACTTCTGTCAGAGAGAGGCCCCATCCCTTAATGCCCTCCCAAAACAGTAAAGCAACCTAAAAACTTTTAAGAACACATCTACAGACATAATACAGCACCTCAAATTAGATACAGAATCACAGAGTGGTTTGGGTTGGAAGGGACCTCAAAGACCATCTAGTTCCAAGCTCCTTGTCCTGGGCAGGAATACCTTCCATTAGACAAGGTTGCTATCTTTGAAAGGCCCTGCAATTTTAACATTTTCAAGGTGTTGTTGCAAGTACCTCTTTACATGCAATCACTAAGATCTCCATTAAAGCAAGGTAAGGAGTCTAAGAATAAAACACACTGTAGACAGGTAGCAAACATCTAAGCTTACTGTGTTTAGCTTTTTATCTACATTTTCCTCAGTTTTGAGGTTTTCATGGGTTTGGATGAGGGGTGAGTTTTTGAAAATGAGCAAATGGAGAGAGAGTGACTACATAAAGAATGAGAGACAAAGAGAATATTTTTGAGCTACATCTGACAGCAGATAATGGGAAACAGAGATTTGGATACAATTAGATTCCAGTACAAGGAAATTGCCACCACAGCAAAAATAGCAAATTAGTTGAAAAACAGACTGGATTTTTCAATTAAGAAACAGTGCCAAGCATTCTGGCCACAGCTGACCTAAAAGGGCTGCTTTTCAATAAACACGTTTTCTTCCTCCAGATGAATATGAAGCCATCTTACAGAGGTTTTGCATTGGGTGAGGAAGCCTAGTACATGATTATTTTTTATTATTTGCATTACTCCTGTATCTAGGAGACCTAATTAAAGACCAGGAGCCTGCAGTGCAAGGAGCTGCACAAATACAGATCAAAAGTCCACTATGACCTCCAGTAGTAATGCCATTCCTGAATAGCTTGGACAGTCAGCAGAGATCAATCTTAAATTGCTGCCTGGCACTAGACAGAAAAGCATGCCAACAGCGAGGGCAGACCTGACACTGGAGAACAAGATGCCAGGGCAGAGCAGGGAGACAGGCATGTACAGACAGGGCACCAGTGCTGACACCTTCTGCTACAATGTGGAATAGCAGAGAGAGGAAAAATGGCACCGTGATGCTGCATCCATCCCATCAAAGTTGCCAGAAAAACAAATTATATACCCGGGCTCTGGATATTAAAACAGCTACTCTCAACACCTTTCAACTGAAAAAGCTTCCTCTGGAGTGACAGAGTTCTCACATACAAACAACATAAACCCTGCTCAATGCTTTAAACAATTACCAAGAAAAAAACCCTGAAACACTACCCTTTGCTTTCACCACAGTGATGGTTTCAGCTGTATTTAGGCTATACCCTGTTTAGTGCCAGGACTCTTCCTTGCTCTATGCTTGTGTGCCACACAGTGTGATCTCATTTGACCAGCTTTAATCACCATGCCTTCCTATATTTGTTACGTATGTAATTAACAGGACATTCCACCTGTAAATGGAGCACTCTGGCTCCTTGGAGAGTGCTTGGGAGAGAGCTTGGGAGAGACATCCTCTTTTGGTCCAAAGGGAGATGATATGCTCTCTGCAGAAGGGGTATCTGCTGCGAAATTCTCAAAGTCCTCCTCTTCTTCTGCTGGAGAGACAGGATCAGGAACATCCAACTTCTGCTCCTCCAAGCTCGCACTGTTTGGATCCAGTTCCTTAATAATTCTGTCATACTGTGCAATGAAATCCTCACCATCTGTGCTCAGCAGTTTTACACTTAAGTTACAATCTGCCTCCTGAGAAGAAATCTTTAACTCTAAGTCTGGCTGTGGATCAATCTCAGTCATTTTCTGGTTTATTTGTTCTCTCATTACACCTTTAGCTGAGCTTGAATTTCTCTTACTGTGCTCATCCAAGTCCATTTCCAGCTGAGTCTTTGCAAGAGACCCATTGACTATGGTCTGGCTCTGCACCTTGTGTTCTCTGGCTACATTTAAAGCTTTCTCCTTAGAGCTGTCATCATCTTGAGTATCCTTCTGGGCACATAACCTGTAAACCATAACATCATCCTGAAAGTCTGACTCTTCTATGTAAGAGCCTTTGATGAGCATAATGGCATTTTTTTTCATTTCTTGAATGTGTTTCGGTGGCTCTGCAGGTGGCTGCATTTCTGTGCTTCCCAGATCATCATACGATTGTGGTGAGCTCACATTAGAACCAGGAGAAATCCCTGTGTCATAGCTATCATCCCATTCTAGCTCTAGCTGTATCTTCTCACTGAAAGGAGTTGCTTGAGCAGAACTACATGAGCTAGGTGTCCTTTGCTGGAGCCGAAACATGGGGTGTTCCACATCTGTACTGTTCTCCTCTGCAAGCGTCTGGATAAAGGTGTCTGGATCAGGATTTACTCCATCATACAAGGCAGACCAAACCTTACAATCTTTCATGCACTGGATGATGGCTTCTTGAGCTTCTGCCAGGTACTGCAAGTAGCTGATGTCCACAGCCCTTCCATATTCCACAATGCAAGCAGATTCAGAAGAGCATCTACCAGGATCTGGAAGTAAAGATGACTCATATCAAGAGTAGTATATCAAATTTTCTCCAGCAAAGCATCCACAACAACATTGCAGGGAGAGTCTTTAATCCTAACCAACCAAAAATGCAGACCAAAGCACAACAAGTGAGATTTGCTCATAAACACACTTTCCACTATTGCAAAGACAGAGCTGTAACTCAAGATTCCTATGACAGCAGCCTACATTATGCAGCAACCAACAGCTACTTAATGCAGCAACCACTCTGAAGTAGCCAGAGTTGCTGCCGTGTATCAGTACATATTGTCTTGAATGCATATTCAGGCTGGATAGCTGTTAAAGTAAGGTTTTGATAGACCTGGACATACAGAAGGAATTAAACAAACTTTCTAGTCCAGGCTTGCCTGGTTTATTGCTGCCCACCACATTTCCTTCCCCTTCTATTTTTATCCAGTTCCTCCCATAAGGTGCTACCAGGTCAAACTCAATTAATGATTTGGTCTTTCCCTGAGCACCAATTACCTTTAGATTGTGCTGTTTTTGTCCAGAGAATATAGTCTTTCCCTTGGCTTTCAAGTGTCAAAGTGATTCCAGTGGAGCAGCAGAGGGGTGTCAGGGCCAGCAGTTTTGCAGCAGATACAGAGTAACAGTCTCTCTCTTTCACAGCACGCCGCTGGCTCAGCATCATGTGGTTGCAGGGGATCAGATACCTAAACAACAGTGCCCAGCATCACTTACCATTCTTTCATGTTAGAGAAAGCAACAACACACAGAACTCCCTTCCCACCTTCTTGCCTTCTCAAATGAAAAGAAACAGCAATAATAATATTCCCTCTGATCCATTTCTAAACCTCTCAAGAGCATGAAACCATGACTCTTTATATTGTGATACTTATACTGATGAGGAACTGTCCAGATGCACAGAGATAGGAGACAGCTGCATCAGAACAGGGAATCCTTTTGCAGGTCAGAGCAAATCGGTTGTAAAAAAGCATGGAGGGAGTGTGGGACAGGCAGATGTCAAAGGCCAGCAGAATGGTTTGGTCTGACTATGAATACATTCTGTCTCAGAATCCTCAATTTATTTGTTTTCCTGGGAAATCCAGAGAGAGGCAGTTTGTCAGGCAAGCAGCCAGAAAAAAAAAGGCGGGAAGGGTCATCCAATAATTTTACTGCAGTAGATCAACACTGAGCTCTTAGGCAGAGGAGAGAAGAAGCTAGAGGAAGCTAAGGAACAGAGAAAGCACAGTCTCATGCTGAACTTCTTTAGAGCACTTTTGTTTTACTTTTTAAAAGCACTTTTATAAGAGCCTCAGTGTTAACTGCACCAATGATCTGCCACTTAAAATGCAAATAAATTCTAAAGGATTCCCTGAATAAACAAAAAAGATCAATCACAGCACTCTAATGCCAGAGTGGTGATGCACTTGTGTTCACGAGGTCCTAGCAGTATTTCCAGGCACCATTGCCATATCTATGGGGAATTTCACCTTAATGCCTGTGTGGGGAGGAACAGACACTATCTGGAATAGTCATGTGATCTGCAATGCTAAAAGCCAAAGTCAGTTACGGCAGTATTTCCAAATAAATAACCAGTTCTCATCTAATAAACGTACCCAAATTATAAGTATTTTGAAGCAATGTATAGAATCACAAATTAAAACCAAAGATTATCACTGCATTTAGTATATCACCTAATCCACATACAATAGTGCAGGAACCTGAAGTGTTCTCACTGAGCGAGGAATCAAAGAGGTGGAAAACAACAAGAACGGTGGAAGCTGCAAACAGTATATAGGTCTGTCTCACAGTGCACAATACACTAGAGAAAACATGCAGGAGGGAAGAATTATGCATTCAGAAGCAGGGAATAAGGACTTCGGAGGTGATAAATATATTCTTAGCTTCTCTCACTTTTATAGAAATAAATCACAAGAAAAATCTCTTGCTCTGGACATCGCAGGACGTAAATCATACTTTGTCAGGACTGGTAGACTTTTGTCGGGACCATAAATATTCTTATCTCTGTAGTTACTTGGACTTCTGCTCTCTTGAAGAACTCCCACCCAGCTCTGCATCCACAGACAGAGACCATATGTCCCAGAGTTAGGATGAAGAATGGGAAGAGTTTGGGCTTTACCTTAAAACTAGCTGCAACATCACATCTTCACAATGCAAGCCAATGAGTGTTCTGAACAACGCCAAGGAGACAACACAGAGCTGGAAAATGATAAACATTGTCAGCTTTTGATTTGGAAGTTGTATCTTTCCAATCTTCCCTGCATACTACATTACAACAGGGCTCTGCCAGAACATCATGATTTATAAGACACTCTTAGAATGATATTTCATTTAGTCAGCACCCTATGAGATTTTTTTTCAAGTTGTCTAGAGCTATACATGTGATATGTTACATTTTAACAAAATGCAATCCTAAACAGAATTTTCCTTCAAATAAGCTATTAAAAAAGGCAGTCTTAAATATTATTCAAATGTATTCATTTGACTTAGCATGAACTGAACCCTGTAACTTCCAATACAGTGTTTTAGTTTTTACCTCTGACACAGAACTTGAACCAACTAAAGGTCTTTTCTGAAAGGAAAATTATAAACTTTAGGTTTCTGTTGCTTTAGGTATAAGGAATTATTAGTGTTCTGCACACTAAGAAGCTGAATGGCTGAAGAGCTTCCCAACAAGCCTTTGGAAGAAGTCAGATTCTTGCATGAAAGGTGTGTTTTAACTGGGGGAGGGACATATGAGAAAACCAGGAAATTTCCTTTCCTCTGTAAAATTTACAGGGAGTCAAGTATAACTTCTTCATTATGCGAAACTTCAAAAACACATGCTGCTGCCTCAAATTATCCTGTATTTAAGAAATTTCAGTTACAGGGAATTTTCAATTACAGGGAAATAGTAATCATTAGTCTTTGCAACTACTTTCAAATCTGGAATCTTCTGAATAACTAAATCCAAGTCTATTTTTTGTACTGTGTAAAAATAGAAGATTTAAAATACACTCTAGAAACAAAGAGGATAGTATTTCTACAAGTTCTTTCAAGCACCTGTCTCTAAATAAGTTTAACTCTGTGAATTATTAATCAGTATTTTCATCAATAGTAATGTACACAGCTTTTGTGCTATGTTTGCACTTGGCTGAGCTATACTGCAGAAAACTCCTTCAGCATCAGAGCACCACTCTGGCAGGGATCCTGAGTTGCTCAGGGCTGCAGAATTCTTTACAATTCCCATCTTGTTTGCCTATGGAACAGTAATTAATGATTAGCAGAGACAACAGCATTTGCATTTTTGTTGACAGAACTGTTTCAGTTTTCAGAGGTAATCCATCTTAGAAATGCACTAACAGCAGCATACATTGGTATTCGCATGCACTTCAGAACAATTTTCAGATGAAGCTACTGTCCCTAATACACAAATTTAATGCACATGCTGGTGTTCTGGCTTCTCTAAAATATTACTGCACATTCTAAGCATTCCCGTGCACTAAAACAGTATTCTTGACTTCATCCATGCAGCTCTGCATCACCCAAGAGTCAGCCAAGGCTGCTAGTCAAGCAAGGCTCACTCAAGGTAGTCCAGTGCAACAAGTAGTCATTTTCTCATCCAGAAGATCCAACTGCTGGCAAAGGTAACTACTCTCTCTGGCAGGCAGCTCTCCAGCCACCATGCTGCACTGTGCCTAGACTGAGAAGGGGCTCAGCACAAACCTGAGATAAACCCTACTGTACAAGGGAGTGAAGGCAAAGAGAAGGAGGCAGCAGCCTCATCACCTGAGCAAGAAAGCATGTTCTTTTAATCAAATAAAGAAGGCAACATCATAGTTAAGTAAACATGCTACAGTAATACAGACTACAGATTCCTGAGAAATACATCAGCAAGATTGCCGTTAACAACTGGGATTCATTTGGAGTCATCCTTAGAGGGCTCCCATTGTTTCCCCAGATGGACCGTTTGAAAATGCTTGTTGCTTGGCAAAATTCTAAAGATCAAAGATGCTCCTCACCACAAGTATATTTGTAAGTCCCAGGGAGAGTTATCTATGATAGCACTAATCCAGCACTGTTCAGAATAAAAAGGCTTCCAAATTTACCTTTTATCTTCCAATAGGATTCAGACTTACAGAAGCTCTCATTACCTCTATCCCATTTCCTACATATGTGAAACTACCTCACAGGTTTATTAGCTTTGTATAGCGGTTGCTAAATGTCAAAACATGCACACAAAAAATTAAGAGGGTGGAGAAATCACACCATTGTGTGTGGAGGGGAGAAAATTCCTAGTTAAACAAGAACCCAACTGTAATATATGAAATCTCCCACTTAAACACTGAACCTACATCCATGCTGAGTACCTGGACTTCCTTTCTGCTTGTCTTACCCGGAATGGTGTGTTGATTCTGCTGGTAAGTGTATCCAGGATATGAACATTCTCATGTCGGTGCAGCAAAATAAAGCGGAGGAAAATCTTGAGGAGGGCTGGCTCTGAAACGCTGCGCAAGAAGAGATCCAGGTATGCAGTTGTAGTCATCACTTCCTCCACAGTCACCTGTAAGCAAAAGTAACGTAAATACTGCAAACACAACCATATTGCATACACAAAATACCCACCCACCTATCCTCTGCAATGGTATATCCAGCAAAGCTCTCCATCCATAACACTGCCACAAAAACACTGAGTATTCACTCTTAAATTTGCCTCACAGGCATTTTGAACATATTTCCTACCTGTCTTTCATCCCCAGAAAAAAACATCCTCCCTCAAACCTCTCACACATAGTGAAAAGCAAAGGACCAAATCATGCTAGAAGATCCCCTTTCTGCCCATGTCATCTCCTTTGCATCACACTTCTGTTGTCCCTCAGAAGCATTTTCAGATGTTGTGAATGCCTGCATCTACCACTTAATTAAAAATAAACGTCAGAGCAGAATCAAAGCACAGTACAAAGTCATGGTCATGAAGCTTTAAAGAGAAAATTCCCATAGATGTCCAGAATTTTGTCGTGATTTTCCTACTCTTTATTTTGCCACAGCACAATTTCTCATTTTACTCAATTTTTAGAAGGAGTATATATACAGAAATATTCACACATAAAGCCCAACCGAAGTAGATCAAAATAGAATTCACAATCCATGTGACATTTGCATACCATAACCCACACTGCTCTGCTTATTGCAATCCCTTGGAGATTATCTATTCACAGAACAGACTGGCAAAGCACAGAAAATTCCAAAGCCCACCTCTGCACCATGTACTGCTCTTGCAAAGTCAGCATTTTTTAAATAGTTACCCAGGAATCTAATAAGCTTAAGTGGACAAAGATAAACCCTTAAATACAAGAATCTGTCCATATGAAAGGAAGTATTAAACATCTTTTGTTTACCAAACTTGGCTGGATAAATGAAAAGACTGATTTTATTAAAAAAAAAAATAAAAGCTGTCACTTAAGACATAAGAGGATTTAGAAAATACTCAGAAGGGCAACATTTACGTAACATGCTGTAAATATTAAAATCCCTGTTCCATTATGCTGCATGTTAACCATGTACACAGTAATGTCATGATGCAAACATTCTCTTTAAAGCATTTAAGATCACAAGCTGCTTCTGGGTGGTTACACAGAGCATAGGAATGGGGTACGCAGCCTGCAGACCTTACGGAGAGAGACACTCTAAAGCTAAGGTCATTGAATCACTCCCAGTTCGAGGCTTTATGGTAATACTCAGCTACACCACCATTAATACAGTGGGATACTAACTCATTTTGGCATTAGAAACAAATCACCAGTGAAGTAGCAACAGTCAAATTTTTCATCAGGAAATAGAAACAGCCCGGCTCCAATCAGAAACTTTTTTTTCTTGGAATAGGTTTTGGGAACTAAGAACTATTTTCTTGTGCTTTTTTTCTCCCCCTTTTTTATAGCAGTGAGTGGTAAAAAGCAAATTCCAAGAAATCCATCATGTGACATCATTATGACACCATACAGTTCATGGACAAGTTTAAACTCTTTGCCAAGGAAAGGCCAGACAGCAGTAATACATCGTTACGCCTCCACGTCACTTCTTCATCTTTTATGGAGAAAAGGGAATGTGCTCCTGGCTGCCAGTTTCACCAATGTTTGCTGACAGAATGTACATGTATCAAATACTGCAGCTGGACATGAAAGCAAGAAAAGCCAGCAGATTCACAAGGGCAGTGACCTTTTTCTAAAACCCACACTCTTTGGACAACTCACCCTACAATTTCTATCAGTGAGAGAAACCTACATGCTTTTCAAAGTATGTATCATGAACGAAACAACGAACAGCAGCAGAAGAAAGCCAGCCAGAGAGCTGCTTAGAAAAGAAATGATAAATTCTGAGAGTGTGTCCAGTGCTCCTAACAGTTTGGGCACTAGACAAAAAACGAAATCATATTTAATAGACAACACTTCACTGGTACCACTAGGCAGAGCTAGAAGAACCTACCGATGATTAATGAAGTCCTAATAGTTCACAAAGAAGTTACCTGTAATCTTGTTAAAACCTGATTTTTTGAAATTAGGCAGTTTTGTGAAGGGTACCATGTTACACTTAATTTTTATTTTTTCTTGGGAAAAAAGTTGGTGAACCTGATTAACCATTTTCCAAGAAAGAGACAAAATGACTAACTTTTGTCAAGATTTAAATGGATTTGTCAGAATCTTTTTCAATTTTCAGTGAAAACCTTATCCACAACACAACATAACACTCCTTCAAATTTCCTCAATAAATGAACTTAGGGTCTATTTTGCAGGGCCACTGTGCAACACTCAAAGCAGGCATGTTAAAGTTGCACAAGCAATTTTTATGCTATCATGTTCTAGAAGTTCTAGTGTTCTCTCAGTGTGCCTTTGTGTGTAACTTGTCCCTACAAACCGGCAAGGAGACGAAACTGCTTCATTGCCAGGTCAAGTCAAACAAATATACTGCTGTTGGGCACTTAAATGCAAGCCAGGTATGCAGCTTAGAAAGAAGATCGATTAACCTGGCAAGCAGATGTCTGTACTTTTACAATTACTGTATCTTATTTTGCCATCTTGCATTCTGTGTTTGCTTCTCCCTTTTAATATATCTGATGGAAAGTGTAACTTCTGAAGATTCAAGGCACCTAGAGAAGCATTCAGAAAGCCAATTTTAACTCCACAAGGCTAATTTTCCTTTTACTCTATGGGATACGTTAGTCTGCTCTGATTGAGCCTCTGGAGAACTGACTCTTTTTGCAATTAACTAGAGAAGGACACTGGAGAAATCAGTTAGACGAGGCTAAACCCAGCCCTGGCAAAAATCCTTTTAACTCTGCACACCTTCTCTACAGACTGCATCATACATAAAACATGGAGTGTTGAAAGTAAGACTGATTCAATTTGTGCAGTTATTATTGAAGATCTCTGTTTTCTATGATACCAAAGCCATGCTATTAAGCTTCATTCAGACTACCTGCTGGCTGTCTCTTCTTAAACAAATGTCTCGTGAGACAGATTTGGGGGAAGAGGGAAATCATTTCTAATAAATTCAAATCAGTACTTAGATAAACAACAAAAGAACAAATCTTCCCAGAGAACTAAACAGGTGCTACCTATGTCAAGTATGCCCACTACAGTCAAATCCTGAGGCAGTTCTACAAAAACTGTTCTTGTAAACATTGATTACAGTATCATTTCTCCAAGTAAGCTCTTAGCTACTAGCCCTCAGAATTGAAAATCTTTGAAAAGATGATAAATAGCAAGCCAAAACTTACAAAAATCTGACATTTAATTTGAAAATTCTTCACCTTTGATAATTCAAATGTCAAGAAAAATACTGTAACAAAGGGAGACTAATAAAATCAAGACATGATAGTTTTCTAGAGAAAACCTTTTTTAATTAATTAAATTTCAAGTTTGTTTTTGATAAAATTTTTGATAAAATGTTGATTAAATTTCAAGCTATGTTCTGATAATACCTTTTTGATAAAGTCATTTCAGCAATACTAAATTCCACCACTTCCTCAACAGCAAAAATAGAAACCCACCAGTAGCATCCCTTGCATTAGATCCTTTCTGTTAATGGCAGAGACCAGGGATATCTCTGCTCTTAAAATAAAACTATAGGATTTGCTGAAAAACAGGAAAAAAAAAATTATGTCTATTGTATTAATCACACCACTACTCCACCATTTTTAGTTTGATTATCCACCAATTTAACAATTAAAAGTCACTGGATTTTTTTTCAATATGTATGTAAAGTGTCTATCTAAAAATACCATTAAAAAAGCCTCATCCCATGTTTTTCTGTTCAAAATCAGCTGTTACAGATATTTTTTGAGATGTAAACTGCAATAAAAAGGACTAGCTGATAGTTTTCATGGCCAGACAGATACTTGTCTGGAGACTATTGAAAAAAGAAGGCCACTTTTAGCCATGTAATACCCTTCTATAATTATGTAATAATTTTCAGCAAATCTTTTCTTGCCTCCTCTGATGACTGATTGGATGGTGAGGCAGAACACTGTAAAGAGATCCAGCTTTTATAAGTTACTCTGCCAAGTAATAGCAAAGAGCTAGAAATTACTGTCATTGAAAGTCCAGTTTAATGTATTATACTCACTGTGTTAGACCAATCACATGGATTCTTTACTATTGGCCATTTTCCCTTGGGAATCACACAATGTATTTTCTAATTTACAGCTTTATACCCACTTATAGGAATATGCCTACATGATTCCTCCTTTCCATCACATATCCCTTCTTACAAGGACTTCATACTGCCCATGAAAAGACCACACATGTTCTTATTTGAACTTATTCTCTAGATCCATCCACAAGCAGTTTTAACCTGAGTAAGTTCACCTCACTGATAAAAAAAATACAACCATTTCCAGCCTCTTCTATTAATTTTCAACTTCTTGCCCCCTGCTTATATAGGCAGAAGGGTTCATGTAGCACAATGAATTGGATCAAGAAATTGATTCAGATTAAAACTACCCACAAGTAAAGGTGAGTTTTAACCTCAATCAGTTTAAAGTATGAACAACTGTCCAGGCAAAAGAGAGGGACAAGCAGGATCAGAGACAGAGGATGTTTGCCCACTGGTCAAAAAAAAAAAAAAAAAGCCCAAAACCCAAAAAACCCAAACTGTTTCAGCTTCCTTAAGCTTACGTTTATAAACTGCTTCAGTTTATACCAGGCTAAAATTCAACTGAACTGCATGGCTGAAGCAAGAAGTGAGAGGCATCTTTACATAAATCCACCTCACAGCTGATAAAATTAAGTTTTGTAGCTATTAATGGGCTTCTGCAAAGCACAAGGCTATTCAAAGTTTTCCATTGACACTTGGTTTACACGTTTTTATAGCAGCTGTCCAAATGCTTTCCAGTACGGTGAAGGATGGTATTATTCCTAAATGGGAACTGACAGTCTTGTAGGATATTTATAAAGATGCTCATTCTAATCTGCGGAGTATAATTTACAGGTCATTTCCCCCTAGCTGAGCTGTGTAATCATCAAGCAAGTATTATTGAATTATCACAGTAGTACACCATGTCAGAGG